TGTAGTGATGTGACAATATATATCGTCGCATATATATATATATATATACAGAGAGAGAGAGAGAGAGAGAGTCACAGGAGGACAGAGAGAGAGAGAGACAGACGGAAAATAAGAATAAGAATATGAAAACGAAAAAACAGCACAAATCTCGAACACATCTCAGTCTCACAACCACTGATTATCCCTGTTCATTAAAAAAAGAATACACCTTGAAGTCCTAGTAAGCATCGCCCCGACGAGTTTTGCTGCCTGCATACCCGGCGGACGCTCCAAGGGGCCTTCCTCCTTCCCATCACCACTCGGGCATGATGAATTACACCCTTGAGTCACGATAGTGTCCTTTATACTACTGTAATGACCCGCCACACAGACTGAGAGCACTGCTGATTTATGGGATTTGCCGCAGGAATGTATGCCTCGCATTCTGCTGTGATTTCTAAGTCTGTGTGTGTGTGTGTGTGTGTGCCTCCTGGTATGTGTGCCTGTCTGAGTGCTTGTCGGCCTGAGTGTGTGTATGACCCACAAGGGTATTTGTTAGTTGGGAGGCCCCGCAGGGCCGGTACTTACCCGTGGCCGTGACTTTGAGGGTTGCTGCAGGGAAAAACACTCAAGTAGCGGGGGTAGGCCCACGACACTTAGCGCAGCAGGAAAAACACTCAAGTAGCAGGTAGGCCGGTACCACTCAAGTAGTGGTCGAAGTGTCGGGCACTTGAGGCCGAGCAGAAGAGGACAAAAAGTTGGCATTTTTAGAGGCCCAGTAGTGGTAGGCTAGAGGTAGGAAACAAAACAATTACGTGAGAAGTTGCATCATATGAAACTCCATGAGTTATTTGGCCTTCAATTGAAGGTAACTTTGTCTTATGAAACCTGTTTGGAAAAGCAAAGCAAAAAAACACAAAAATGATTCGGGAGCGAAGCTATATGAAAAACAGTTGCTGGAAAGGAAAACTACTCAAACAATTAACGTTTAGTTTCAAAAAGGCGTCAGGCCGGTACCAGTCCAAGTAGCCTGAGTCCAGGGCCTGTACGGACGATATCAGAGCCTGTAGTGATGTTTCCCTCCGAAAGGGAGGAGGCACCAGTTGCTGGGAGGCCGCACGGCCTAGGAAGTCACCGCCCAAGAGGCAAGTAGGCCGCTATATCTTCGGGAGGAGCAAGTAGCTCCTCCTCATTTGTGGTGTGCAAGGATTGGCGACATACTGCTGGAGCCAAGCGCTGGACTTGGAGCGCTGCCTGGAGGAGGAGAAGAGCGCTCAGCCTAGCTATGGCGATCAGCCCAGCCTGAGGAGGAGGAAGGGGGGCAAAGGAGGAGAGTGGCGAGGTACCTACCTGGCTATGGTGGAACCATCTTCATCACCTTGATAGGCGCTCCATCTGGAAGGCCCCAGTTGGGGTAGGGCTGCACCAACGAAGCTCGATGCAGAGTCAGGCATGGCGGCCTGATGAGCAGCGACATAGATGCTTTGTGTTGTCCTCTGGACAGGAGGGCAGAGCCCTTGGTAGTCCGTCATAGACTTCGCATGTGAGAGGAGGAAGAAGGGGGAAGCCATGGCTATGGTGGACCTGTTGTTGTGTCGGCAGTAAAAGGGAACTTCTGATATTGATTCTGGTTCATCCACTCATTGTTGTTATTATTATTGGAAGAAGAATAAGATTGGCGAAGTCTAGGACGAGGAGGAAGGTGGAGAGAGAAGGGGGATTTGGTCTTGCTGGTGTACTTCTTCTTCTTCTTCTTCTTCTTCTTCTTCTTCTTCTTCTTCTTCTTCTTCTTCTTCTTCTTCAACTTCTTCGTTCTCTCTTCTTTGGTCTATATCTCTTTGCAAGTGCTTTCATTTCTTTCGCAATTGGGTGGCATTGCCTTTCCTTGTGAATTTGCACTTTGGAAATGACCAGGATCGTAACATTACCATCATCCCAAACTCTTTTCCTAAGTCCTTGTCTCGAAGTCTATACTTCCTACCTTCCATTCCCACACCCTCCTTCCAATCTATATCTGTTCAAAAATTCTGAATCCAGTGTATATTATGCCTACCTTACTCCCTCCCCTTTGCATCTACCCGCCCCTTATCTTTGTTACACACGCCCAGGTCCTCATGCGATGCTTCACACCTCCCAAATCGACCTCCCATCTGTGCCTGATTGATCAACCATTGCTGCTCTGCATCTCCCCGTCTTTTGCGCTTCTCCACGATCTCTAGGTAACCGTCTAATCCACTCCCAACTACACCCGATACATTTCGCTGCCATACTCACTGCCGCATGAGTCATTCCTCGTCCCTCAATATTATACCTCCATTCCTCTCGCCACCCTTTACATCCGCATTCCCCAAACGGTATTCCCATCTTGAATTCCTTCGATGAATTGATCCCAGAGATTGATTCCGTCGACCATCGCCACATTGTATCTTTCAGCCATACCTCATCTACATCTCAGTATTTCTGCAATGGGAAATCCCACGCTCTCCGCCGATGATCCCTCCTGTCTTGGCGGAATCACATTCTCTTCCTCATACGCTTCGTAATCTCCAGGCCGACACTGCTACCCGCTTCTCCTGCTGCAGTCGTGTCTTCCCAGTCCCGTGATCCAACCTTCTCTATAGGACTGTACTATAACCGCTCAATCCGCATTTCAAATGATGACTCCGACATTCTGACACTTCCCCAAATCTGCCATTTCCAAATGTAGATCAAGCCGGCATTTATGCAGCCGACATTTCTCAGTTGCTGCATATTCCACCTGAGCTACAAAAACGACTGGTGAACAAGACAACTACTTCCATAAGCGAGCCAAAAAGACAAGTAAAGGGAAAAAGAAAAAGGAGAAAAAGAAAAAAAGCTATGTCTCGGACGTCCGGGCACGGACAACTCCATTTTCAGCAGTTTAAAGCCCGAAAGAAAGAAAAGAAATGGGGGTGTTTTAATTTTATTTTTTATTTTCAGTTTGATAAAGAATTTCGATGTAATCCCAAGGCAAAAGTTGTTCAGTTTATAATTGTGCATAACATAGTTTTTTTTTCGGTTTTTTTTTTTTTTTTTTTTGTGTGTGTGTGTGTGTGTGCGTTCGGGCTCGGACAGACTGCCCTGGGAGGATGTCCGACCAGTTGTCCGACCGGACAGCCCCGGACGGTCAGGGGGGTCCCGGATGCCCGACCCGGTAACCTAGAAAAAAGAGAAAAAAACGACTCCGTTTGAAAAGAAAAGAAAAAGAAAAAGAAAAACCGACTACGGTTGAGAAGGTCCCGGAGGATGTCTGACCAGTTGTCCGACCGGAGAACCCCAAACGGTCAGGGGGGTCCTGGACGTGGGCAGGAAGAAGGTGGGGGAAGCGGGAGCGGGGTCGGGATCGGGAAGTAGGGAGGGGCAATAGGATCGCGCCGGGGGGGAGAA